TGGCAGCGGCAATGGTGGCTTCTCATTCACCTCACCAACGGCGCCGAGCTCAAAAGATGGTAAGATTTATAATGTTAAACTAATTTCTAATATTTTTTTTTTAGCGAATTTATCCATTTCAGAAAATAATAATTGTGATTTGATATTTTTGTTTGTTTAAAAAAGTTAATTAAATTTTCCTGGTAAAAAAAAAAATATTTTTGTCTTCTTTTCATAGTTAATCCCGCATCGAATTCTTCCACATCCAGCGAAGCGTCCAATTCATCTCAACAGAACAATGGCTGGAGCTTCGAGGAACAATACAAACAAGTCAGACAGGTGAGTTCTAATTTTGATAATTTTATTTTGTCGCTTAAAAGAGTTAATATGTACCTTGCCGACAAATTTATGGATTGTACAACAAAAATCGTTGGAGCTTTGGTGTATTAGCACGGCATTCTCTGATGAGGGCCGCGCATTATTCTATTTTGATAAAAACGCACAAAAATCAAATATCTCGATAACATGAAGACATGGAGAAATTATTGTAACGGTGTGTAAATTAAAGATTTTGAGATGGAAAATTCAGGAAAGTTAGCCTCGTTGGATAGAAGAGTTACCTTGATCTTTAAAATGACCTTCAGATATAGAAGGATTTAAATGTTTTCTTTTTTTGCCCAAAAACAGCTTATAATTAATTTAAAAAAAATTAAATGTATCTTTTGGTTCTTACAACTTTTTCTGTGATCTTTGTTGGTCCTCTTCGAGAGCCATAATTAATGAGTACTGGAGAGCGGTGGGGCTACCCTTTAAACAAAAAGATTATTTTAAGAAATATAAATGACATACGGCTACTTTCTGAGTACCTGACACAACCAAATTTCATTCCACTTGCACCGAACAGGTGTGATCACAGAGTCGGAATGCCGGTTCTGCCTTGAATATGATGAAACTTCAGAGCATATTCTCTGCCTCTGTCCGGCTTTGTCAAAACAAAGATTGATCCATTTTAGAGCTTCAATGGTCGAACCCTTTGTTATATAGAATTTGCCTATCAAGGCCCTTTTAGGATTCATAAGAAAAGCCAAAGGTATCTTCGCCACACAGGTCCCGGTGTCTCTTGTTCTGTTACACCCAAAAATTAACTAACTAACTATATAGAGCTATGAGAACCCAGGTTTCTTATTGAACGTCAAATTTCTCGACCTGAAATTATTTTGTCAAACTATCAAACAAACCATCAAAGAATGGATTTGCCGAGCTCGTTTTTAATAGCTCCCGATAAATCCGATAGTTGTGCCATCATGCCACCACTTTACATTCATCTAAACTGGCTGGCTTCGCCGATTTGTTAGTTCTCTCATTGCTTTGGATACTCTTGTATTCGGGATTCCAAGCAAGGTAGACAATTCTTGACTGAGACAGCATAATTACATTTTGCGTTTCTTGAGCTAATTTGAAGTCAAGATTTACTTGCCCTTTATTGAGTTTCTATCATCCTTACCACTTTTCTATAAAATGTATATACTATATAGCATATAGAGTGAGTCGGCTTAATTTTTTCCAAATCCTCATTTCGAGGGTGTTGGTATATTTCCGTAATTTTGATTGTCTAACCAACTAGATTAATTGCTAAAGAAATCTAACCTTGGTGCAATTGGCTACGCGATTTTTTAGTAGTTCAGTTTTCTATTAAAATACTTCATCGAAAATATTCCACGAATATAATTAAATAAATTCACAAATCCTTTCCAACTGCCCCCTTTGAATGTCCGTGACAGAGAGCATAGAGCTTACAAAATTCACTACAATGTGAAGGGATTATGTGAAAGGATAATGCCTAGCTGAAACCGATACTGTCTACATCACAATGGCATACCATACAATACCAGCGATTGTGCCAATATGTATCGACAATAGCGATAACAAAAGCACGCTAACCAACCGATGTGTAACCGATAATCCACTCAATCCGCCTACAAGAACACGACCAATTTACATACATACACATATATGTATGTACATACATATGTATGCAAATATCACAAATATAGACCATTGAATGACCAACCAAACAACAAGCAATGCCTTAAGGCCAAATAGCGACAGAAGACCGGAGACGAATATGTACATATGTATATTAGGGTGGTTAAAAAATGCATGTGAAA